TTTTAGACAGATGATTTTTAAAACACTTCATATATCTACAGAATATGACATTTATGATGTTTAATGACCTCAGGTTTTTCATGACATTGAGAAGTATCTGTTCCTGGCAGGAACAATTTACTTTATAAAAGGATGATGATGGTTGAAGAAAGTCCATAGGGAGTTTGCTTTCAATGTGTCAAGGGTAGCACATGGGAAAAAGACTGTTGAACTTTGCTAAGACAAGGCAAGACAGTCCTTTGAGATTCCTACTTCACGTAAGAGTCTGCCAGAGATTCTGCAGGATATAGAGGAAAGCACTGACAGATTTGCCAATACAAGAGAGGACAGTCATTCAAATTTACTGTTTCACTGAAATGTCTCCCAGATATTCTAGACCTATAAGTTGAAGATGGCCCCAACATTACAAAGGAATGCTTGGTAATTGTTGAGTCAAACAGATGTCTCTGTTGTTAGGTAATATTACATTTTTCTGGGGTCTTAGATAGAGTTATAATTTTCCTTATATAGAATAGAAAGTAAATTGGGTGTGCAATTTTGGAATCATTAAGATAAGATAGATAATGGAGAATTTTCTCTGAATTTACTAAATACAAATTGACAGAATTGTAAGTATAATTCTTATTTGATAACTGTTTTGTTGCATATATTTTTACTATGTTGAAGTTAAAACCTTTCATTTTTATTTAGACAAAAGGGGAAAACGTTATGGAGTACTAGTTTAAGATGTGCTACATTCATTTATGTTGTAGAATATTTGTGGAGTGTACAAAAATTGTTATATTTATTTATGTTGCATTTGTTTAACGCTGTAAAGTGGTGTTACTTTGCCTGTCTAAAACACCAGATTCTTTAAATAAAGAGTTAAATGTCCAATAGCTAGGTAGGTGAGGGATAGGTGGGGCTGCCAGGCAGAGAGAATAAATAAGAGAAGGGAGATAAGAGAGAAGACTGAGAAAAGGAGGAGACAGGATACCAGGGGACACCATCCAGCCACACAGCTAGCCACAGAATAAGGAGGAAAGAAAGATATATAGAATAAAGTTAAAAAATGCCCATAGGCAAAACATAGTTAAATAGACACAGGACACTTTAAGTTAGAAAAGTGAGCTAGACATAAGCCACTCTAAGGCTGGGCATTCATGAGTAAGAATATATCTCCCTGTGTATTTGAGAGCTGAGTGGCAGGCCCCCAAAGAGATAAGAGTAAAGTCAACCAGCTACAAATTTAGCTTTGAATGGAGAAATCTTATTACAATAAGTAAGGACATTGTTAAGAAAATTAAATTAACTTTATTTTGAAATTATGCCTATATTTTGGCAGTAGTTTTCTTTTTATCACTTTGCCAACTGAGTTGAGTTCAGAAACAGTAAACTTAATTTGATTTGAATTGATTGAGTTGATTGATACATTTTCATAAAATTTCCTTACACTTTTCTCTCTTTGGTGCCACTACTTTATAATGTAACTAATCAAATATATTTAATAAAGTTATGTAGTAAATTTTAAGGGCTTTTAACAAAATACTTTTTGTTTAAGCATAAGTGGAGAATGTTACAAAGAACAAATCTACATAAAAGCCTAATAGATCATATTACATTCTGGCAGTTTCAAAATTTTCTCATTAAAGAAGTACAAATAAGCACATGTGTAAAAACTTA